GATCCTTATCCGTCAGCATCCAAGGTTCGCTTTCTCTTCAGGACAGGACAAGAGGCTAGGTGTCTTGCTTTTAAGCAGCACAGATGATAGCATAGGCAGCCAGTAGCTTCCTAACCGTGTAGCAGTGAAAGTCTCCCTTCAACGCCAGTCTTCTGAGGCACTCCATATGTAAAGTTGGTGGGGGTGGAGTTGTCCTGGCAACTCCAATGGGGCTGCTCTGTGCTCCCCACCCTTCCACGCAGCTGGGAGAAACCTTGGGGCTGGAGTGCCATAGCTTGAAAACCACCAGGGAAGATCACATCCTATTTCTCATAAGGAATTACTAATTTGGGATACTGAAAGAAGAAATTCTATGCCCTCATTTTATGGGGAGCATATTGACGGATGTGTTTATAAAATGGCAATTAGGTGACTCCCCTCTTCGTCTCATACAGATGTGTTTTTGTTTTTCTCCATTAACCTTGTTCATGCCCTTTTCTCTTGAGGAGATGATTCTGCCAGAGTCTTCACTGCATTTGACAAAATGACCCAGTTACTCCCCATGTTCCCCATTAAAGAGGAAACTCCTCTATAATGAGAGCAGAGACTGCTTTATCATCTTCACTCTTAGCGGCATGCCAGGTGCTTAGTAGGTGCTCAGGACTGGATCCCACAGGCTCTGAGTCTGTAATTACCCAGCCACTTCTCACTGAGCTCCTGCCAGCCCAGGGCCTTGGTGGCTGAGCCCAGCTGAGCTGAATTTGAATGCTAAAGGTCTTTCTCCTGCTGCTTAGACGGCCTCTGAGCAGCGACCCTGCTACCCACTCCCATTCCCTGCTTCTCGTGCCCAAGTGTTATGGGCTCTGAGAATATTAGTTAATTTTAATATTAGCCTAAGAAAGATTAATTAGGAAGGCAAATTTGCTCTAAAAGGTGTAATTAATTCCAAAGCCAAATAGGAGAGTGTTATGGATTATCTGCTTTGAGGCTGCCTGTAAGTAGTGTGGATAATCACTGGTTGACTAGATGAACACAGAACAGTTTTTTAAGTGTCAGAACTGTGTAGACCAAACTCCATATGGTTCCTTATGTGGGCAGACTCATGGCTGAGACAAAAGACTTAGACTGAGGTGGTGCCTATGTGAGTAAGAGAACACATCCCATCAGACCTCCTTCCGGGCTCTGCCAGCCCCTAAATCATTCACAAATCATGTATCTTCCTATCAGGCCTTCCTCCATATTCCCAAACTGCTAACAGAGTCTGGTCCAACTGCATCTTTTCGGGACTATTATAGGTAAACTTCAGACTCTCTATAGACTCATTCTTCTTCAGCATCTAACCAAATTTAGGTCAAATGCATAAACACATAATCCTTTGCCCAGGGTCAAACAGAGATCTCAGCCAGCCATGTACCACTTAGAAATTTCCAAATGTGCCAGAAGTGAAGGGTTGACTCCTCAGCATCGCCCACAAGATCCTTCACAAATTGGCACCAACCTATTCCCAGCGCTCATTTCCCTTCTCCGCACACTCCTAGAAGGTCTGCCCCACCCCCATGTTATAGAGGATTGTTGCTCATTCTGCAGGTCTTAGCCTCAGTGAAACGTTCCACCCTTGGGAGCTTGTAAGGGCAGGACAGGCCACAGTGCAGGTTTTCTAGGATCCCATGCAGACCGGGTAAAGGAGGAGTCAGAGTCCTTAGTGGCTTTTTGCAGGTCTTTTTATTGGGATTTACCTGGTACACAGCAGGCAGTGGTGCTGGGGGGCCAGGAGGCTGGCAGACCTCCCAGCCCCCAGCAAGTCTTCACTCTATCTGGGCTCTCTGGCCTTCTCTCACATTCTCTCTGCTCTTCTCATGGCTCTGCTTCTCTCTCGGCTTCTCTTTCGGCTTCTGCTGGCGGGACGCCATGACGCCGCCCTTAAAAGCCCAGTCTCAGCCCAGGTGAATCCCATCTACCTATGCCCACACCCTACTCCAGGTGCCCGCCATCAGGCATACATTCAGAACCGCAAGGATCCATCATCTATCCTGATGGCAGGAGGGCAGAAAAGCCTGACATTTTTCCTTACCCTACAGGGCTCCTGACCCTAGACTCCTATAGCACACTGCTAGCAGTTTGCTATTTTCTTATAATTATTTGTTTTCTCTTTAAGGAGACAGTGAGCTCCTTAAAGGACTGTAGCTTTTGCATCTTTATATTCTACGTCTCCCTGATTTAGGGCAGGTGGAATGTCTGTCCCATAGGAGATGATTGGTAAATATTTGTTGGAAGAAATTGATCAGTCAACAATTTCTTTCTTTTTTTTTTTTTTAAGTTGCCCCTTCAGTTTTTTGGGTTTTTTTTAAGATTTATTTGTTTATACAAGCACTGAGGTACAGGCCAGAGGTGTGGGAGTGTGAGAGAATTCACCAGAGACAGAGCAGGGAGCAGAACAGGCAGAATGACTGAAGTACACTGCTGAGGGGAGCAGCGGGTGAGACAGGAGAGGTCTGCCTCGCCATGGGGGAATCTCCCTGGCCAGCAGGGCATCGAACCCACGCTGCAGAGGCTGCAGACAGCTTCACAGTGCTGCACTCAACCCGCTGCGCCACCGGGGAGGCCCTATCAGTCAAAGATTTCAACAATGATGCCAGTCAGCTCATTGAAACCCCAAAGCCCCCATCCTCACCCCCATAGTAAGTGCTGTTGGAAAGGATCTGGGGAAAAGCCACAGTTTTCCACTTTCCTTGCCTGTGGGGCTGAGGCTTCGAGGAGGCAGGTGCTAGCAGGAGCAAAGTCATCTGAGAAAGGCAAGGATGCCGACTTCAGCCTGACAGCTGCTGATCTTTGCTTTAGTTGATTTCCCCCTTTGCAAATGGTTATTGGCAATTGAAACTGCAAATCTACTATCTGCTCCCCTATGTAAATTGCATTTACATTTAAATTGTGCATTCTTCCAAAGGATAGGGTTAGTAAATAACGGCAGATTAAACTTGAGGAGAGGAAATTGTGCCCCACGTCAAACCTGAGACTGAAGTGACATCTGGCTTTGACTATTTCCGCTATTTCAGTTTAATAACAGCATGTGGCAGTAGGGAAAAGAAATTGGATCTACATTTTAATGAAAGAAGGAAGCTCTCAGGGTTTAGATACCTTATCATGTTGAATACCTAGTCGATTGGCAATTAAAACTTGCTTCCCTTGAGAAATAGAATAAAATATCTGTATCCATGGATGGAATAAAAACAAAAAAACAAGCTAATGCCCTGGACTTCACAGAAAAAAAAAAAAACAAGGGAAATAATCGCTGTAAACATCAAAACCAAATATTTCAGGTCATGGTGGAGTACAGAAATTTTTAAATAGAATAATGTGAGAACTGAATCATGGATGTTGGCAAGATCAGAATTCCAGAGAGTAACTTCAGATTTCAACCCACAAATGTTGGTTGAGCTCATCTGATTGAATCCTTTGTCTCCCAGTGTGTTTTAAGCCCCGGAAGTCTGACCAAGAAAATATTCCAGAAATGGCTGTTTTATCCCAACAGTCTCACAGTTTAAATGGAAGCAGTTCCACCTGCTGGTTGTTTTTTTGTCGAAAGCAATTCTGGGAAATGTAAACATAATGCTTGTGCATTTTGATAAGCCAAGCCTATCATTTATTTGCTTTGATTGAAACAAATGTGTCAATTTCCCAAGTCTTTGTTTGGCTAATCCAGTGTTTGGATATTGTGGAATGTTTGCATGGCGTTTGTTTGGAAACACGCTCAGTTCACAAACTCTGGAACCATGATCCTTGGAACCACAGCCCAGGATCCCTCAACCATCCACCCAAAGATGCCCAATCTTTTCTGTGAATTCAGAAAGTGTTGAAATTATAGGGTCCGATGGGCAAGTGCAAATGGAATGAAGCCTCCTCCTGAGGAAGAAGCTGGATGTGGAAACATTCTGAGGATGAAATAATGAATAATTCAAATCACGGAAGGATTGTCAGTGTGCTTGCCGCGTGCCAAGTGCTTTCTGTGGGTTCTAACTCACTGAGTCCTCATAACACCCTGTGCAGGATCCACTGTCACCCCCACTGCAGATGAGGAAAGGGGACACAGTGAGATGAGAACCTCATGTCACCCAGCTGGGAAGAGATGGGAGCCGGAGTGACTCCAGGTAGGGCCCCCCCACTTTCAGGTGACCCTCTCATTCCTGGTCTTTAATTAAGGCAATGTGTTTTCCCAAAGTTCCATTTTGTTTAGCATAATTGTTTTGAAGTCTTTTTTTTTTTTTAAAGATTTATTTATTTATGCATACAAGAACTGGGGTACAGGCCGGAGGTGTGAGGGGTGAGAGGATTCACCAGAGACAGTGGGGAGCAGAACAGGCAGACTGACTGAAATACACTGCTGGGGAGGCAGGGGGCGAGACAGGAGAGGTCTGCTGCGCCATGTGGGTAGCTCCCTGGCCGACCCAATAGCTTCAAAGTGCTGTGCTTAACCCCTTGCACCACCAGGGAGGCCCTGAAGTCTTTCTTGAAAGACTCAGTGGCCTGAGGGATTTTTCCTTCAATGGAATTAAGGACCAACAACCTCTAGCTTTCAGGATGAGATCTGTCTCCTTACAGGCTCTTGCAGAGGTAGAAAGTAAAAAGGCCCAAACCATCATCATTCTTCAGTGTACTCTATTGTGATTCTTATTCTTAAATGAGCAATTGCTTAACAAGTCAGTCTAGGTTTCTTCCACTTTCTCAGTTTCCCTGGAGTATAAGGTCTGATTGCTCATTTACTACTGTGGGTCTTTCGATGACATTCTGGACACTGAGTTTGATTTCTCCTTTATCTTCTCTTGCTTGGCTCCATTCCCTCTTGGCACCTCCTGATATTTTATCATGACAGTCTGCTGACGGGGTTGACCAATATCTCCTTCTGTTTGAACTTAGGTTAAATTAATCATCTGCTGCTCACATCAGTCTGTTGCTATGAGGGTTCCTGATGTCACACATGTCAGGATTATGATCGCCTTAATAGCCAACAAGCAGAAAGGGTGGGTTGCTGGTAGAAACCCTGAGTGAGACTCATCCAGCTTTAGTAACTAAGCCAACTGCATAGACTATAGACAACCATGTAAAGGGTAAGTGGATTAATCATCTGGTTGGATTCCATTTGAATATTTTTCTTCCATATGTGTTTTCCCTCTAGGCAATTGTCTAGTGTCACTTGAAATGGATGAGGGCTCTTTTGGAGGTTATTTTTGGGACAGTGGTGAAACAACAGACAGCTGTTCCCCAGAACAAATGTCACAGGATCTGCCTAAGCTAACCTCCAGTAAAAAAATAAAAAATAAAAAGTTCTGAGGTATATTGTACTTTTCCTTACTAATGTTGGGTTGTTTAGCAGAAGCCTGAAAGCTTTAACTTACCTTCCCAAACACACAGGAAAGAAGGAAACTTACATTTACGAAGCACCTACAATGTGCCAACACATGACCTGGTCAAAATGGAGCTTCAAGGTGGAGAACTGTTAGGCCAGGTGCTCTCAAACCACCCTGCTATACTTGACAATTCACAGCTTTTTAGCTTGTATGCAATGTTCTTGCTAATTGGACAGTGATTGATCACCACTAAAGGCAAAGTCATTACTTAAAATTGGGCCAGATCTTCCTATGCTGAGTAATTGTCTTGCATTTGTTTTCTCTGTGATATTAAAAAAGTCTGGAAACATGATAGAAATGAGGTACAATAAACTCCTAAATTAAAAAGCTCTGCTAGAAGATTTGACAAATGGGTCTGTCATTTTCAGGTTTTTGTTAAGTAGATGGACAGGTCAGTTTGAGGGGATAGAGGGGTCAAATGAAGAACACTGGTTGAACTTGAGGCTGTGTGGGCTTGGAAAGCTACATTAAGACTTGTGTAAATCTATATAAATCAATTTGCGTGCCCGGGAATGAATAGCTGACTTTTTTCAAATGCCAATTCAGCGATTATGAAGTCGGCTGGTGGTTAATTAAAAACTACCATCTTGTGATGTTCAGAGTTAAATTACAAGTGTGAAAACTACTACTGTTTGCAATAACTGAATGCTCCAAATTCTCTGTCCTCTCATCAAAAGGAGGGCAGGGATAAATAACTTTTATTTAACTCACTAAAAAATCTCTCTCAGCTCTTTCATATTTAATTAACATTTTATCTTCTCAGAGCTTGAGTCTTACTCAGAGCTCCTAAGCAGTAATGGAAATATTTGTTCATTTTGTGCAGAAGGTTTTTCTCACATTAGTTGAGTAGAAAAGTTAGAAATCATTGAACCCCAAGAACATTGGGGATAGCGATCCCCACCCAAAGTTTTGCAGTGAGGCATTAAACCTGGGAGAGAAATACAGCAGTAGACAGCAGCAGTGGTGATCTTGCTTCATTGCCTCTGGGCCTCTACTGGGGAGATGGGGTGGTGAAGACTCTTGTGGGCTAGTTAAGTTTTGGTTCTAATTTGTAAGATGACCTTAACGAATTTATTGTTTTACTGTTTCAAAGAATCCACTGCCAGAAAAGAGACCAGACTATCACCATGGTGGATGTGAAGTGTCTGAGTGACTACAAATTACAGTATGAACTTGATAAGCTTGGATTTTCCCCAGGCCCAATACTACGTATGTATACAGACAATATTAAAGACTAGTCATTTATTATAAAGCACCCCCAATAATTTTATCTTATTTTATTATTTTTTTTTTTTTGTGGGACCCTCGCTGATGGCCGGGGAACAAACCGGCGCCACAGAGGCTGCAGGCAGCCTCGCAGCCCAGCGCTCAACCGCTGCGCCACCAGGGGAGGCCCACCCCCAATAATTTTAATTCTACAGTAGGAGTCTATGTAATGAAAACCATTCAAGTAGAAATAAGGAAGAAAACAAAAATCCAGAAAACTGCGAAGAGGGAAGTGGGGATAAATATACCCAGATCCTACCTAGAGATTAGGGTGCCAGAGATAAAGGGTTAGTTTTTTCCAGCAGCAAAAAGCCAGTTGCTCTTGGTTCTATCACCCCCAATTTTTCATCTCTAGTACCCCACTATGGATGTGTGGCCTGTATTCACCTTGAGTATTTGTGGAAGAAAAGGAGTTAGTTCAATAACTGTGGGGTCCATGCATTTTAAAACCTATAATAACCAATAATGTGAGGTACATGAATAAGGCATCTGGGTTGTAAAATATCTTGAACCACAAGCAATTTCGCCCGTTCTCCCTTCTTCCTCAGCTTCCACCAGAAGACTGTATGAAAAAAAGTTAGTGCAATTGTTGGTCTCAACTCCCTGTGCATCTCCTGTGCTGGAGGAACCCCCAGAGCGGGACAGAACTGAGGACTGTAACGTCAGCGGAGGTACCTGAGCTGCCTGCTGCTAGACAATGGCTCACACTTGCTGATACCCTGTCTGGCCTGAGTGGGATTGAGTGTGCGTGAGTGGGCAGTCACAGTGGTGTGCAGGGTGGCCTGTGAAATATCCACTGGGCCTGTTTGCACTCAAGAGCCTGGAAATCAGGTCCCTGGGCTGCAAGAGGAATCTCCACTTCACGCCAGTGACTCCAGTGGGTGGGAAGTGCAAGAAGGAGGGATTCACTTGCACTACCTCTTCCTCACCAGAGCCAAATCTCTGATTGCTAAGACTAGAAGCTCCTGCAGTTCCTTTCTGGGTTTCCTTTGAGGTCCCTGTTTTACCTCAATCAATTCATTTGACCCTTATTTTCTTTGGATTAAATGATTTCTTGTCCATTAAAAAAGTCGAACCCCATTGCACCTCCTCCTATGCACCCCTGACCCCTCCATCCCTCCCTGTTCTCGTGACTCACTGGGACCTGGCCACAGCTGATCTCTCCTGGTCTCAGGGTGGGTGGGGAGCAGTGGTCTCTAGCACGCATGAGCTTTGCTTTTGGCGGTCCTGCCCAGCACGCCCTGTCCTACGGAGGCACCTGGGTTGCACTATGAGAGGGTGGGTTGAATGGTCTCACTGCCAAGCTCTTCAGTCACTCAGTATTTGTTAGGAGGACCCTCCGAGCCACAGTAAAATACCAGCAGCTACCATTACCAGAGGCCTCCGGCACATTCCTGGCCTTGGGGTCATTGTCTCATTTGTTTTTTTTTTTAAGATTTATTTATGCATATAAGAACTGGAATGTAGGCCAGAGGTGCAGGGGGTGAGGGGTGAGAGGATTCACCAGAGACAGAGTGGGGAATAGAACAGGCAGACTGAATAAAATACACTGCTGTGGGGAGCAGTGGGCGAGACAGGAGAGGTCCACTGTGCCATGCGGGTAGCTCCCTGGCCAGCCAGGGATTGAACTTGTGTTGCAGAGGCTGCGGGCAGCTTCACGGTGCAGTGCTTAACCCCTTGCTCCACCAGGGTGGCCCCATTGTCTCATTTAACCATCACAGGGTTCAGCTGAAATCCAGAGAGTCCAGTGATTGGCACAATGCCACCTAATTAGGAAGAGGCCGCAGAAGAGCAGCACCCACTGGGTTGTGACAGGAAAATGGGGCCCACCTATCTATTTAGCTTCTGGAACAGTACCAGGCATAAGGCAGGAATTCTAGGATATGTTTGTTGAAGGAAAGTAACAACAAGGTATGAGATTTGAACCCAAACCTGGCTCTCAGACCCTTTCATACCTTATACTTTTCTTCTCACAATTTCTATTGTGAAGATGAATATATTACATTTTTTTTACCGTGACTGATTCTATTAAAAAATTATAATTTCTTAGAGTTCAAATTAATGGTTCAACAAGTAGGTATGTATGGAAATTTCTCTATAGTGCCTGGTTTTGGAGGTGGTACAGGTCTGAGCACTTTCCCCAAGGGTCTGACACAGCTGGCCTCATTTGGAGAGGGCAAAAGGGTTTAGGGATGGACCCCACTGGTCCCTGGGCAGAAAGAAGAGTTAGCAGTGGGATACCTGAGAGCATATGGCTCCCCCAGACCTTTCCTGGATGAGGGGCATGTTCAGAGTCCTGCCCTGGGCCTGGGCTGTCTCTGTTTCCTGACTTGGAAAGCAGCTGAAGGGACTAGACCAGCCTCTAATGAAATTTCCAGGCTGGAAGATTCCAGAGAGGAAGAGAAAGGCTTTGCACTCACTGCTCACCACTGTCCAGGACTGCAGGTTGGAGCTGCAAAGTCAGGGCCTCCCTGACGGCGCAGGGGTTAAAGTCTCAGTGCTATAAAGCCACTGCAGCACAAGTTTGATCCCCGGGCAGGGAGTTGACCCACATGGTTCAGCAGACCTCTCCTGTCCCCCCACTGCTCCCCTCAGCAGTGTATTCCAGTAGATCTTCCTGTTCTGTTCCCCACTCTGTCTCTGGTGAATCCTATCACTCCCACCTCCCACTTCTGGCCTACACCCCAGTTCTTGTTTGTATGCATAAATGAATAAAATAAATCCTCTAAAAAAAAATCTGCAAAGTCAAGCTGTCTGGGCTGGGAGGAAATCAGTCTTTAGCTCTTTTTTTTTTTTAATTAATTTATTTATTTATACATAGACGAACTGGGGTACAGGCCAGGGGTGCCGGGGGTAAGAGGATTCACCAGAGACAGATTGGGAAGCAGAACAGGCGGATTGACTGAAATACACTGCTGAGGGGAGCAGCGGGCAAGGCAGGAGAGGGCTGCTGCGCCATGTGGGTCAGTTCCTGACTGGGGATCGAACTCAGGAACTCAGGCCTTAGCAGTGATATAGCGATGAGACTTAACCCCTATGCCACCAGGGAAGCCCAGTTTTTTAGCTCTTAAGTGTTGTCTTTGCTTTAGACTGGACATGCACCTGATGTTAGCCAACCACAGGCAGCAAGGCCAAAAGCAGAAGCTCAGTTCTGTCCTACTTTGGTAATGTGATGGCCTTGGCTGAGACAAGCGGAACCCCCCAGTCCAGGTCAAGTCAGAATCAGACATTTGAATTTGTTTGTGGGAGAAGCCTTGTAGACCCAGGTGCCCTTAAAATGGAGCAGTGAGAAGGAAATGATGGGGTCCTGTGGAGGTTCAGCCTTGGGTGTTCCTCACAAGGGGGTGGAGCTGTGCTGGGAAGCGGGAGGGGAGCAGTTCCAGGACTAAGCATCACCCAAAGAGTGGGTGGCTCTGACTGCTCACATTTGCACTCACTGTTTTGACACCAGGTGAACGTAGCTTTAATGATCTATCCTCTTTTCAAACTTCCCAAGTGTTTCTGGCTCCTTCTGCTGCAGAATGTGTAACTCACGATTGTTCCAAGCTAATCAAAAGGCTCCCCTCAGGCGGAAGCCAAGGGGCCATTCACAGCCATCTTTCCTGCCCCTGTGCTTCCCCTGATTTTAAAGCCTTTTAGCACACATCTGGCTTTCCCTCTCCTGGGAGCCTTTTGGGATACAGAAGGAAAAAGTCCTTTTGCCCTTCCTTGACATTCAGGAAGACATGAGGCTTACAGCTGCTGGGGGTAGGCCATGGCTAGAGTGAAAACAGCCCAGCTGAGCAGCCCACAGACTCACATTGTGTTTCTCTCAGAGGCCTGGTCAGAGGTCCCCCCGAGGCCCAGGGCAAGCCCAGCTGTGGTTTCCAAGGCTGCTGCAGCCCAGAAATGCTCCTTTCCCTCTGAAGTGACCAATGAATTTTCTTCTCCTCACAGAAATCTGTGATTGAGAAAATTCACCCGGTGATGGGTGTTTGTTCCCTTTGCGAACTTGTTCGTTCTCATGGCCTATTTTCCTTTTGTTTCCCATGATCCAGAGCTTAATGCCACTATCAGTTTGAAAGGAAATATCATATTCTCAACAGAAAAAAACAAGGGACTCAAAAAAGTATGTACAACTCTAATGCATGAATACTTTTACACAAATATTAAAAATAGGAAATAGAGTGTTTCATATGTATTAAGAAAGGAGATAGTCAACACATTCGGTTATAGTGGACAAGTCCTGGTTTAAATAAGCTATTTTGATGCAGGTTTGTTTGGGGAAACAATTTTCTTTTTTTTTTAATTAATTAATTTTTATATATTTTGCATCACTGTTCATTTTTGTACAATGTGTGCTTTCTCCTTTCAGGTGTAGTCCCCGTAAAATTCCCATCACCGATTCACTCGTGCACCATTACCATAGTCCCTTGGGCAATTCCTGCCCCTGCTTTTTATTTTTAAGATTTATTTTATTAATTTATGCATAGAAGAGCTGGGGTACAGGCCAGATGTATGAGGGGTGAGAGGATTCACCAGAGACAGAGTGAGGAGCAGAACAGGCAGATTGAATTACACTGCTGAGGGGAGCAGCGGGTGAGACAGGAGAGGTCTGCTGCACCATGTGGGTAGCTCCCTGGCTGGGGCTCCAACTCCTGCTGCAGTGGTTAAGGATAGCTTCATAGTGCTGAAACTTAACCCTTTGCGCCACAAGGGAGGCCCCACTTCCCTGTGTGACCCCTCTCTCTCCCCCTCCCCTGCAGAATGTCTCTGGTTTGTAGTTGCCTGTTAATTTTGTTTTATTTATTTACTTTTTATTTATTTATTTATGTACATATTTATTTATTTATTTATTTCCTGATTCTTTATTTGGTTCCCCTGTATTCCTCCTATAAGTGAAATCATCTGATATTTTTTTCTCCCTTCTGGCTTATTTCACTGAGCATGATCCCTTCCAGCTCCATCCATGTTGCTGCAAATGGCATGAGTTTATCTTTTTTGATTGCTGAGTAGTATTCCATTGTGTATATACCACATCTTTTTGATCTGCTCATCTGTTTTTGGACATTTGGGTTGTTTCCATATCTTTCCTATTGTAAATAGTGCTGCAATATGGGGAAACAATTTTCAAATTCTAGCACAGTCCCAGAAGGTCCTCCTGCCCCTGCTGGAAATAGCTACCACCCTGCTTTCCCTCTCTGCTGGGCTCCCCCTCTCTCTGCCACAGGCTGCATTCACATGTGGCTAGTTCTAGTGAGCAGCGAATGAATGTGAGTTCTCTTCCCTTCCATCTCTCTGATGCTGAGTTCTGCCCTCCACATGCACTGCCCTCCCCAGCACAAGCCACATGCATGCCTGAGAGCGGTGGGTATGGGGCCAGGCCTTGCCACTTGAATCCACTCGATTCTTCCATTTGCTGGATGTGCGACCTTAGGAAAGTCAAGTAACAGTTCTGACCCTCCTGGTGCCCTTTAAGAGCTGCACCTACTCCGAGGCCCATGTGAGGCGAAAGGCAGGCCCAGATCTCAGGACAGATCAGACCCCCACTTAGCCCCCAGGTAGAACTCAAGGCCACCTCCCTGACCTCTGTCCCATTTCACTTAGACACCGTCTCCTTGGGTTTCAGCAGCTCTGCCCTCTCAGTTCTTGGTTCTGTCCCTCCAACTCTTTCTGTTCTGTCTTTTGCTCCTAAATATGCCTGGTGCCTGGGCCTCCCCTGGTGACGCAGTGGTTGAGCGCTGGGTTGCGAAGCTGCCCGCAGCCTCCACAGCGCCGGTTAGATCCCTGGCCACCGGCGAGTGTCCCAAATGGCACGCAGACCTCTCCTGCTGTGCCCGCTGCTCCCCTCAGCAGTGTACTTCGTCACTCTGCCTACTCTGTTCTCAGCTCTGGCTCTGGTGAATTCTCTTACCCTCCCGCGCTTCTGACTGTACCCAGTGCTTGTATAAATAAATAAATAAATCTTAAAAAAAATATGCCTGGTGCCTGAGATCTTGCCCTCAGGCCCCATTTCCTCCTGCCCTGAGTCATTTCTCCTGGCCGTTCCCTTCAGTCACCTCCTCCAGGGCCTAACTCCTCCTGCAAACCTTCACACAGGACTGCTGTCTGCGCTCACGTGGGCCAAGAACGGGGCTCAGTGCCCTCACCCTATATATCCAACTGCTTCCTTCTTTTTCCTTTTTCCTCATTCTCTTCCTTCTTCCACTCTCTTGCCTTCCCTCCCTTCCTGCATTCACCCAACAAATGGCTGTTTACAAGCACACGAGGGTCCTGAGTTACATGGATGTGTCTGTACTCTCCTGGGGTTCCTTTCCAGCGCCCCACACTCAGGATGGCCAGGACTAAGCTCATTTTCACTCACCCCACCTTGCATCTGTGGCCTCTGTTATTTCCTGCCGTCCAGGCTCAAAGCCTCAGAGTTGTCTTAGAACACCTGCTCGCCAAGCTCCTCATTTATTAAGCGGTTGACAAGTCTTATGAGTTTGAATTATGAGCTTCAAAACTCTACCCCTTCTTCCTGGTTCCACTGCTTCCATCCTAACTTGCACCTGTACATATAAATATATTCATTTGGGGCCTCCCTGGTAGTGCAAGGGATTAAGCAACGCACTATGAAGCAATCCGCAGCCTCTGCAGCATGAGTTCCATCCCAGGCCAGCCAGGGAGCTACCCACATGATGCAGCAGACCTCTCCTGTCTCGCCCACTGCTCCCCTCAGCAGTATACTTCAGTCAGTCTGCCTGTTCTGTTCCCCGCTCTGTCTCTGGTGGATCCTCTGACCCCCCTCACCCCACATCTCTGGCCTGTACCCCAGCTCTTGTATGCATAAATAAATAAATCTTTAAAAAAAAAGATTCAAACTTAACTGTACCCCATGCTGATCCACTGTCTCTTGTGACTCTATCTCCCTCATCTTCCAGCCCACCGATACTTCCCTTCTTTCTACTCCTCTCACTTTTCCCATCTGCCTTTGCCTCAACAGTTCTTTACGCCTGGAATTCTTTTCATCCTTCCTACTCTATCCCATTTTTTTCCCTATTAAAATCCTGTGGTGGTTGAAGGTCTGTCTCTGAGGCCACTCCTGGTATCCCTCTAAGACTGCCTCTTGTCCCTTCCCCGGCTCTGACACATGGCAGGGGTGCAGAGGTCACTGAGTCCACCTAACAGCTCTGGGGGCAAATAGGTTAGTTTGCAAATATAGTCAAGTATGTAAAATACTTGCTGAGTTTAAAGAAATGAAAAGAAAATCCCAAGTAAATGTGCCTACAGCATAATGTCACTTTATTTTTTTTAAAGATTTGTTTATTTATTTTTTAAGGTTTATTTATTTATTTATACAAGCACTGGGTACAGTCAGAAGCGCGGGAGGGTGAGAGAATTCACCAGAGCCAGAGCGGGGAGCAGAGCAGGCAGAAGGACCGAAGTACACTGCTGAGGGGAGCAGCGGGTGGCAGGAGAGGTCTGTGCGCCATGCGGGACCCTCCTCTGGTGGCCGGGGAGCAGCCGGGGATCGAACCAGTGCTGCAGAGGCTGCAGGCAGCTTCGCAACCCAGCGCTCAACCACTGTGCCACCGGGGAGGCCCCATAATGTCACTTTAGCTTCCCACTTAAACACAATTCAAACTTGATGAAGTAATTCTGATATCAAATGTTCTAAGATGATTTTTAAAATCTGCCAAATTAAAGGAATCCTTTCCGTTTAGTAAACCTCACATCCACAGAAAAAAATTTTTTTAAGATTTATTTATTTATGCATACAAGAACTGGGGTACAGTGAGAGGGTTCACCAGAGACAGAGTGGGGAGCAGAACAGGCAGATCTACTGAAATACACTGCTGAGGGGAGCAGCAGGTGAGTCAGGAGGGGTCTGCTGTGCCATGTGGGTAGCTCCCTGGCTGGGGATCGAACTTGTGCTGCTGTGGCTGTGGACTGCATCTTAATCCCTTGCGCCACCAGGGAGACCCCTCCACAGAAAACTCTTTCATACAGTTGCTGCAAAAGCATTTACAGGAGAAAAAGCAACTCAAGTATTGACGATGCATCAGCTGGGACCAGTGCCCTCCAGTCTGCTTTACTTAAACCTGGAATGAAACCACATCAATATTTTGAATTGGTCATAGAATTAAATAGAAAGTTTGTGATGGTAAAAATGTTTTGATCTGAAGGATTTATATAAGCTGTTTTGAGTCTCAGATGGGTCTTAAAGACATCTGTTCACTTTATTTTATTATTATTTTTTAAAGATTTATTTTTATTTATTTATTTTTTATCTATTTATTTATGCATACAAGAACTGGGGTGTAGGCCAGAGATGCGGGGGTTGGGGGTGGGTGAGAGGATTCACCAGAGACAGAGTGGGGAGCAGAACAGGTGGATCTACTGAAATACACTGCTGAGGGGAGCAGCAGGCGAGACAGGAGAGGTATGCTGCACATGTGGGTCAGTTCCCTGGCGGGGGATTGAACTCAGGCCATAGAGGTGATAGCGCTGAGCCTTAGCCCCTAGGCCACCAGGGAGGCCCCACATATGTTCATTTTAAATCCACAAGTAAATGTAAATAGACATTTACATTTCCACGTAGAGGTGGTGGGACATGTTCCTCGAGATGCTGTGGGTCTGATTACCTAAGGGCAGTGGTCTGCCTCTCTGGGTACCAGGCCAGTCAGTATTTGTATTTCTTTGAAACACCGATGAACACATATTTTCTTCTCCATTTAATAGGTTTCTATCTTTTTAATAAAGATTTATTTATTTATTTATTTATACAAGCACTGGGTACAGTCAGAAGCATGGGAGGGTGAGAGAATTCACCAGAGCCAGAGCGGGGAGCAGAACAGGCAGACTGACGAAGTACACTGCTGAGGGGAGCAATGGGCACAGCAGGAGAGGTCTGCGTGCCATGTGGGACCCTCACCGGGGGCTGGGGATTAAACTGGCTTTGCAGAGGTTGCGGGCAGCTTTGTAGCCCAGCGCTCAACCGCTGTGCCACCGGGAAGGCCCAGGTTTCTATTTTTTTTAATTTTATTTATTTTTTATTTATATATATTTTACATCCAGTGGACTACAAACCTTTTTGAGATTTGAACTAGGTCTATTTCCAGACACTTTTTAACACCGTGTGTTTTA